CGAGAAGTACACAGAATGCTTCCCAAACTTATTGTCAATTCCTTTTAACCTTAATACTTTCCATTCTTTTTCAACCCTTAATCACTCTATCATTCAAAATTCATGCAATTAACGCTCAGCACTCAAATTCACAATAAAATAGGAATAAATAATTGGAATTATACACAGTGTTACAAAATACCATATGTACTTCCTAAAACAACTAATAAATACTGAAAATAAACAAGGTAAAGGATAGAATTTCACAAACAAACACTGGATTGCCTCCCAGGAAGCGCTTGTTTAATGTCTCATTGCTTGACGTCTATTTCTTTAAGGATCATGCAGTGCAATTATAGTAGTGAGTCTCTTAACTTCACTACCCAGGTATGGCTTGAGCCTCTGCCCATTAACCACCCAACTTCTTTGAGTGCTTCATCTTCTTCACAAGAAATAGTTTTGACCATTTGATTTCAATTTTCCAGGAAACAACTTCAACTTGAAATTGAATAAAAGTACAGATTGGCCAGGCCTAAATGCTCTCTTGAGGATCTTTTTGTCATGATACCCTTTCATCTTTTGCTTGTAAAGCAAGACTCATATACAGTGAGCCTTATTTCTTCTAATTCTTGTAGTTAGAGCTTCCTTTTTCACTTGAAGCTTTTGGATCAAAATTCAAGAACTTCAAAGCCTAAAATGCTTTGTGCTCAAGTTCCACATGCAGGTGACATGCCTTCCCATAAACAAGCTGAAATGGGAAGAGACCTGTAGGGGCTTTATATGCAGTCCTATAAGCCTATAGTGCATCATCCAGCTTAAGAGACCAATCCTTTCTCAAAGCTGTAACAGTCTTCTCCAAGATCCTCTTAATTTCCTTGTTAGAGACCTCAGCTTGACCATTTGTTTGTGGATGATAGGGTGGCGCTACCTTGTGCCTTACCCTATAGTGCTCTAGGACTTTCTGCATTTGAGAATTGCAAAAATGAGACCCTTTATCACTGATTAATACCCTTGGTGTGGAAAATCTGCAGAAGATGTTTTTCTTCAGAAATTTTATCATAGTTTTGGCATCCGCCTTCTGAGATGCAATAGCCTCAACCAATATGAAGCTAGAAGTGGTCTTACAAAACCTGTTCTCCAACAGTCAAAGACCTTTACTTCCAGAATGCTTGAAAGAGGCATTTCATGCCTTCTTGATATTCCACCTGATCTTTAACAGTTGTCGCATTGCTGGACATAATTATAGGCATCTTTAAACAAGGTGGGCCAATAAAATCCAGATTGAAGGACCTTGGTTACTGTCCTCTCTCCATTGAAATGTCCACCATATGGAGAACTACGACAATGCCACAAAATGCTTTGAACCTCATATGATACAACGCATCTTCTTAATAGTCCATTAGCTCCCAGCTTAAAAAGATGAGGATCATCCCATACATAGTACCAAGCACCCTCAAGAATTTCTTCTTCTGGTGCTAGTTAAAATCTTCAGTTACAATACCAGCTGCTTTGTAATTAGCTGTATCTGCAAACCCTTTCTTACACTAAGAGAAGTTTTTCATCAGGAAACTCCTCGATCACTTCTATTTCTTTGCTGGTCACCTCTTGATTCACTAATCTTGATAGATGATCAGCAACAAAATTTTTACTAGCCTTTTTGTCCTTGATAACTAAATCAAATTCCTGCAATAACAAAATCCACTGAATTAATCTTGGTTTTGAATTAGATTTAGTTAACAAATATTTAATTGCAGCATGATCAGTATATATCACAACTTTGGAACCAATCAAATACGATCTAAATTTTTCCAATGCATACACTATTGCTAGTAATTCTTTTTTGGTGGTAGCATAATTCACTTGTGCTTCATTTAAAAGCTTACTAGCGTATTGAATGGCATGGAAAATTTTAGACTTTCCCTGTCCTAGTACATCCCCTATAGCATAATCACTTGCATCACACATTAATTCAAAATCTAAATTCCAATCAGGGGCGACAATGATAGAAGCTAAAATTAGTTTTTGTTTAAGTAATTCAAAGGTATATAAGCATTTAGCATCAAAATTAAAATGGGTATCCTTATTGAGTAAATTACTGAGTGGCTTTGCAATCTTTGAAAAGTCTTTTTGATAAATCGCCTGTAAAACCCAACATGGCTAAGGAAGCTTCTGATTCCTTTTACATTTGTTGGTGGTGGTAGCTTCTCAATCACCTACATTTTTGCGTTATCAATTTCAATGTCCTTAGAGAAGATCTTGTGGCCCAGCACCACAACTTTAGTTACCATAAAATGACATTTTTTCTAATTAAGCACCAAATTTGTTTCAATACACTGCTTTAATACGGTGTCTAAATTTTCTAGAAAATCTTCAAATGATGATCCACAGATCAAGAAATCATCCATGAACACTTCCATGCATTTTTCCAACAAATCGGAGAAAATAGCTAACATACACCTTTGGAAAGTAGCTGGTGCATTACATAATCCAAATGACATTTTTCTATAAGCAAAAGTATCGAAAGGACATGTGAAGGCAATTTTCTCATAATCTTCTGGATCTACAATGATATGATTATAACCGGAGTATCCATCCTGAAAACAGTAAAAAGCTTGACCCGTAAATCTTTCCAGCATCTGATCCATGAATGATAACGGAAAATGATCCTTCCTAGTAGCCTGATTGAGTTTCTTGTAATCTATGCACATTCTTCAACCAATAACTGTTCGGGTGGGGATTAATTCATTCTTTTCATTGTGGACTACTATCATTTTGCCTTTCTTTTGAACCACCTGAACTGGACTTACCCAGATGCTATCTAAAATGGGATAAATCAATCTTGCATCCAGCAATTTCATCACTTTCTTCTTCACCACCTCTTTCATGGTAAGTTTAGACACCTTTAAGGTTGAGCTGCTGGCTTATAATCTACTTCCATGTGAATCTTGTGCATGCAATAAGAAGGACTACTACCTTTAAGATCTGATAAAGTCCAACCTATAGCCCTTTCATTTGCCTTCAACATTAAAATCAATTTTTCTTCATCTCCTTTTGACAATGCACTGCTAATCACTACTGACTTCTTTCCTTCATCCTCTAGGAACACATATTTAAGATATGAAGGTAACATTTTCAACTCTAATTTCTGCTTTTCTATCTTCTCTTCCTGAGATAAATTTTCATAGGGGCTTCATGTGGAGAAAGTTCGTTAGGATTCTAAATTCTTCAAACAATCTTCAATCTCCTTTCCCTCCTCTTCATTTAAATCTTGATAAGCTTCAATTAAAGCTTTTTCCAATGGACTGGACCTTCTGCAATTGTGTCTTCTCCATCATGCATAACTCATTAATGACATCCATCCTAAAACATTGTTGTTTGTCTTTAGGATGGTGCATAGCTTCAAAAACATTAAAATTGACCTCTTCATCATAAACTCTCACCTTAAGTTTATCATCATCCATATCAATAATCACCTTGGCAGTCTTCATGAAAGGCCTTCCTAAAATCAGAGGGACTTCTACATCTTCTTCCATATCTATGTTTATAAAATCAACAGGAAATATAAATTTATCCACTTTCACCAAGACATCCTCTGCTACACTATAAGGAAATTTCATAAACCTATCTGCTAGCTGCAAAGTCATTCTTGTAGGTTTGATCTTCAGCTCCCCAATCCTTTTAAACATGGATGTGGCATTAGATTGATGCTTGCTCCTAGATCGAACAATGCCTTTCCCATAGAAAATACACCTATGGTCATTGGAATTGTGAAACTGCCTAGATCCTTTGTTTTCTAAGGCAATAATTTCTAAATTACTGCACTACAACCTGCCTCTAATTCAACTGTCTCATTTGAGAATATTCTTTTCTTTGTGAGCAATTCTTTCATGAATCTAGCATAGGTTGGCATCTACTCCATAGTCTCCATGAAGGGAATATTAATTTGTAATCTTTTAAAAATGTATATGAATCTGGCAAATTGTCTCTCCTTGCTTTTCTTGGAAGGAATCTTAGGGTATGGTAAGTCTTTCAATTGTGGAAGCTCACCCTTATCCTTCCTTTTATCACTCTCATTTTTTACTTTTTCTTCTTTTTCTTTCTTTTTCTCACTATATACAATTTTCTCATTATTTCTTTCAACTTCTTCCTCACTTCCACTCTTTTCTTTTTCACATTCTTTTCTCTCTCCATCACCTCCTCTTCATTTACTAAATGGTCACCAATCCCTCTTCCAATCTTCTTACCACTTCTTGTGGTAATTAATTTGCATTGCTCCTTTGGGTTGGTTTGTGTTTTGGCAGAGAAGTGTCCTGATGTTTGCTGCTCTGAAAGCTGTTTTGCCAACTGCCCCACTTGTATCTCTAAATTTCTGATGGACGCCTCAGTGTTTTTCTGGTTGGTCATTGACCCTCCAGTTTGGACTGTCTCTTATGAAGTAGAGGAAAGTGTGGTTGTTGTTGTTGTTGTTGGTATGAAGGTTAGTGATGAAAAGGGGGTGGTCTGTTGGATGGTCCTGCTTCTTGTCTTCACCCATATCCTTGGTTTTGGTTCTGCCTCTAACCCTATGAAAAATTGTTAGAATAATAATTAGTGTTAGGGTTAGAAAAGTTACTTCCCCGAGGTGGGTTACTTATATAATTCACTTCCTCATTTTCTGAATTGTGAGTTGGGTAATCCTCCATAGAAATCACATTTAAGCACTTGGTTAGTTGTGGAGTGGACTGAATGAAGCCGTTGTGGCAATTTGGTCATTTGTTTAGTGAGGGCTTCAATCTTTTGAGTCAAGATTTTATTTTGAGCAAGAATAGCATCTGATATGCTCAAATCTAAGACTCCAATTCTCTGAACTGCCCTTCTATTATGCTGACTTTGCCTATTAGTGGATGAAAGAGCATTAATTATTCTTGTGGCTTGCTCCACATCTACTGCCATCATTGTTTCACCACCAAACAACATCTAAAATCATTTTAGTGTTAGGCCGAAGACCATTACAAAAAATGTTCAACTGATCTACATCTTCAAATCCATGGTTAGGACATTTCCTAAGCAAGGACTAAAAATGTTTCCAGGCTTCATAGAATGCTTCATCCTGACCTTGTCTAAAAGTGGAGATATCTAATTTTGCACTAATATATTTGTAAGATGGAAAGAATCTAGTGAGAAATTTTCTTTCCACGTCACTTCAACTTGTCAGGCTCTGATTTGGATGTGACTTCAATCACTCCTTTGCTTCCCCAATCAGAAAAAATGGAAATAGCTTAAGATATGCTGCCTCTTCCTCATCATCATCAAAACCTATAGTAGACACCAATTCATAAAAAGTATCGAGATAGGCATAAGGATCTTCATGGTCCTTTATTGAGAACTGGTGTGAACTAATCAAATTCAGGAAAGCAAGCTTAATTTCCATAGCCCTTGTAGTAGGTGGTACTATTATACTTGAATAATGCCTTGGACCTTGATGCATGGCATAATCACTGAGAGTTCTCCCTGGTGGTGGATTTGCTCTTGGTCCTGCATTTCCTTCATAGTTTCCACCATTCCCATTGCCACCTTGATTATCTTCTCCAGTATCTGCCATTTCTTCTTTTTCAGAGTCTGAGTGAATTTCCAGTGATTGTGAAGTTTAAGATGCTCCTTGTTGTGCTAGCTTCTTTTTCTTCCTTGTTGCGCTATTATTTCTCCTAGATGTCCTTTCAATCTCTATATCAAATAGCAACTTATCTGCAGAGGCTTTTCCTTAAAATATCATAAACAAGGAACTTGAAACAAAAATTAGCAATAAAGAGTAATCAGATAAATGAAAACTGAATAAAACTAATTACAATTACTTAATTAACTATACTTAAAAACTAATACAAATTACACATTGCTCCCCGCCAATGGCGCCAAAAACTTATTGAAATTTTTCCTTCAAACAAGACAAGTGTACTGGGTCTGTTGCAAGTAATGACTAGTAGAGTACCAAAATATTGCCTTCAGAGAGCAATTCAAAATGTATTAATTGTTAAGATAAAAGTTAATTGAGCTTATATACAAGAGAATTGATTGATGATTTTCATAAGATTTTGAGTAATAATTAGTGTAAAACGATAATGTAAAATGTAGTAAAATTTAAATTAATGAAACTAGATTGAATTTCATTTATTTCCCTCTCTGTATTTCAGCAATCCAGTGATAAACATAGCATTCATTCCCAATGAATTTGATGCAAAATACAAGAACCATATATCTCAATTCCATGAAAATATATTTCTCCGATGATTTCTTAAATGTTGATCCCTCAAGCAGTTAACAAATTATCCAACATTATAATTAGGCTTTAAAACAATCAATAACTTGAAATCTATTCCTAGAGTAATTAGTTATTGAATAATCTCAATCAGATCTAGATCTAAGTTATCTAAGTAATATTTTTCCAGATGCAACTCAGATATAGGTTCAAGAAGCTATCAGTTAGAAAGATTCAAGGATTACACATGGATTGAAATCACCAAATCAATAGAAATAAAGAAGAAACAACTATATTTATATACTATTGAGAATACATCAAGTTTGAAGATTTACATTCAATCCCATACAAATTTTAGCAGCTCATTGCAACCATAGTAACAAGAAATAAGATACAAACGGTGTAGAATACCAAAACTTGAGTATTCCTACTCTTTTTGTTTACCCTTCATCGCTCTCTCTCTCTCTCTCTCTCTAAAACAATGAAATGGAACAGCCTCTCTTTAGAAACACAAAATTCATTTTTTATACTAGTCTGGACGAAGCTTCTCTCGCTACAGCGATACCTCATCACTGTAGCGAGACATGGAAATAAAAATTAGGTCATTCTATCTGTCTCTCGCTGCAGTGATATATGTCTCGCTACAGCGATACAAAAATATTTTGCTACAGTGATGCATTCTCGCTACAGCGAGAGAAACACATAATTGTTTTCATAAATTTAAGCATTCTCGCTGCAGTGAGGGTATCTTGCTACAACGACAAACCTTCAAAAGCTGGCTTTTCTGCAACTTCATGCTTTATATACCCTTTTTCTTTTTTCAAATTTCTTCAACTTTGAGTGATGTCTCTCTTTTGATATCAACTACAAAATATATAAAAAGGAATCAAAACACTTATATTTGCATTCTTTCTTAAAATATACAAGTAATTGCAAAAGTACTAAGTTTAAGAGAAATTTAACCAAAAATTCTAACACTTAACATGAAAAGTGTTCAAATCATCACCTAAAATTACTCATTTTATACATTTATCAACCTCTTAGAGTGAAGAGCGAGGAATTACTTTTCGTGTTCTTGAAACCCTAGCTGAGTAAGGCATTTTTAAGGCTATCAAACCAGGCTCTTGGAGCTTATTTTAACCCATAGATTGCCTTAGATAACTTGCAGACATGATCAGGTTTAGTTGAGTCTACAAAACCCTCTAGTTGATGCATAAACACAGTTTCTTTGAGGTATCCATTAAGAAATGCATTTTTTTGTCCACCTGTTTAACCTCCCAGTTATGATGTACTGCAATTGTGAGCATTATTCGAAATGTACTGGCCTTGACAACTGGACTGAAGGTTTCTTCATAGTCTAATCCAGTTGTTTGTTGAAACCTTTTGCAACTAATCTTGCCTTTCTCCTTTCAATTATGGCATCTACTTTGTACTTGGTCTTGAAGACCCATTTAGAGTTAATGATGTTCTCTTGGCCTCGATATGGTACCAAGAGCCAGGTTTGATTTGACACGAGGGCCTTATATTCATTGTCCATAGCTTCTTTTCACTGTGGTCTTGTGAGTGCTTCTTTGGCATTTTCTAGTTCCTTCTCATCTGTGCAAGTTTCAACTAATCCAATATATGGCTTCTTTGGCTTGTGAATTCTAGCCTTGCTCCTACTCTAGTGGTTGTTGATGTTTGTGCTTGGTTCAGCAAAGTCCTAATGAGCCCCAACAATTGTTTTGGTGGGATCAGTGTCATCAGAGGTTGGACTATTTCTTGTTGAATCATTTGCAATTTGATCTCTGCTGGGGCCATCAACCCTCTCAAATGGATTTGCTCGTTCTTGTTCTTCATCAATCTCAAGTGGATTTGTTGGTTCTGGTTCTTCATCAATATGATTATCATCTGGAAGCACTGCTTCTTCATTATGTGTGGTACTTGTAGCAGACAAAAGGAAAAGAGACAAATGGACCTTCAGTTAGTGTTTTTAAGGGGCTTTTTATATTGAGAAAAGCATCATGGAATGGAAAAAGCTCCTCATTAAAGACAACATGTCTTGAAATGAAGATTCTTCCATGAAAATTTAGACATTTGTATCCTTTGTGAGAGATGTAACATCCTTCTCTTCTTTAAATAATTTTCTTTAAATATTTACATTATTAAAAATATAAATAAGAAATTTTTGTAAGAAATTATACAAGTTTAAATAAATGATACAACATGAGAATACCAATTAATAAAATTTGACAAATTTACAAAATCTCTCAATAAAACTTTTCACTTTTAAGGAATAAAAATACATAAATGGAATTATACATCTATTACATTAAAATTTATTATATCTGAGCAGTTCTTTCTCCCACAATCCTTGACGAATATGACCCTAGAACGGATCATCCATCTCCATTTCTTTTCTTTCAATTACCTTAATCATATCAGTAAGGGTGAGTATTTTTCGCCCCACTAAATCTCTTTTATTATGAATTATTTAAAAGAAACTAAAGTTATTATTTAATATTCTATTCTAATTCATTATCAATGGTGTACGATCCAAATATATAATCATTACATCCAAGCACATACAATAAGACAACCATCAATCAAAGCATATCCTACAATTTACTCATTACACACATATTTCTATATTGACATGTATGTTATTATATATATATATATATATATATATATATATATATCATATAGTATCAATTTATATGTCATAATACATGTGTTCAATCACACCCATCGATGTACTACAACACCCATATCATAATAACATAAATCAATCTGTTACGATACATATATTATAACCATACAGATTCTATACCATTACACATCTATAACATTTTCATAACAATTACCCCTCGAATCCCTTGAGGACTTCTTAGCATAGATAGCTATTGGTTGATTGCAACATCACAGATACACGTGTGCCGCCCCGACCCTTTTTAGCAAAGGATAGTCAGGAGCTTCGTCAGGAAATGAGGGTGTGGCCTATGAATGTCTATTTTTCAATAAATTATTGTGCACTGTTTTATCGTTAGCATTCACTATCCTCATTTGTCCAATATTTCCTAAATCTTCTTTGGACTCTATACCCCTAGTGTATCGTTATACTATTTATACTTATTTTCCTTCTATTTCTCAACATTTCTCATTTTTATACTCTTTCTATCAATTAGCATGTCATAATACGTGGGTTATAATTTTATATAAATTCATGGATCACAGTAGATATTATAACACATTCTTCAATGTTCTATAATATGTATCGTAATTACCCTCTTCAAGTTATTTTAACCCACGCATCATAATCATGTATCTCATTCTTTCTCTATCATACATCATATACTTTCAATATCAATCAATACTTCAATCATTCATATGAATTTACTCAATTTGAATACACTTCAGCTATCAAATCATATCTACACTTGTTGTATCATGTTAATCTAACATAGAAAGTTATCATACAATATTACACTATATAATCAGTACAATATATCAATCTAACACAGAAATTACCACAAATCTCACAACATACAATCAAACAATATGCCGAAGATTGGGGACATCTTCGGGCTCAGTCCAACTCGTACAATCTCAATATGGTCTCCTAACCTAAAGTTCATTATTTTGTATCCTTTATTACTTAACTCACATACTTTCTAAGAAACTTAGTTTTAAAACTTCTTAGAGTTATTCTGGCTTATATCTTTTTCTATAAATCTAATTTCATTAGTTTCAAGTAAACCCAAACCCTTTCTTTATACCCAAAATACATTTTTACCATATGATTTCATTAAAATTATAGACTTTTACTAAAATAGGTTATTTAGATTCTCTTGAGATCACTATTTATAAAACTTAAAGCTTGAAAATACTCCCCTTACCTGGTAACGGTTCCTCTA